GAAAAAAACGCATCCCATGCAGAGACCGCGTGACCGCCGCCCTTGAACATGTTTATTTTAAAAATATTATGAACATTCATTCGACAGACTTCGAAAACGTGACGGTTATTGCCTAAAGTATACAAGACATTTTTTTTATTTTTATGACACACATGTTTGTCGCAAGTCGCAACCAATACGGGCAATTAGCTTTGCACGAACAATTATACTGAATATCTGGATGACGGATTTTTTTAATAAAGGCAACAAAATTAACTGCTGCAGAGCTCGTCATTGGAGCTTTGTGCAGAGGGGTAAAAGTTGACAACTCTCGTTGTGGTCACGACCGGGAAGGTAATTGAAAAACTATTGTCTACAGGAGCAGCAATGTAAATATTTGCGACCTAAATAGGTCGGCTGATGGTAATCGGGTAGCGGTTGCCGTAATTCTAGAATTTACATATTATAATTATCGTTGATCGTGAAAAACCACCGTGAATCCTCTTACGCACACGTACAGACGAATAAATAAGTATGTATATGAATTACACAAAGGATAGAAGCTTGTTGTATCTTAGGATTAAGAAGCGTAATTTATATTATTATATGTGTGTTGTATTATATACGGTTACGCCCCGCGGAGAACCGGCTAAAGATACACACGGTCGTCTCTCATCGATACCGTCTATATACCAAACTCGCGCTTGGGTTGATTCAGTGTACGGTTATTACATGTTAATTCATAAAAAAGTGTATAATATACAATCGCCTTCGATTCGGAAAGAGAAGAAGCTGATTTTCAGATCACGAAGATCTTCTGTTAACTATCGCATGACCGCTACCGCGGTAGTTTATATAATGAGTCGTACATTACAATACTTAATAATATTAAACGGGCGAGGGCACTTGTTATTTTAATGATTTATGATCATTGATTATCAATATATAATACATAATACCCAATAGTTTTGACGTTTACTACTTAGACTAGCTACAGTTTTCACCATTTATTCGTCGACTAAGGAAATTTAATAAATATGGCTCTAGGTAGTCTTACAAAGATTTTAAAGAGACGAAGTAAAAGCGCGTCCCCTAATCACACAATAAGTTAATAATGCTCATTAATAGGAAGGCAAGTAAATCATTTGATTACGTAGTTTTCAGTGGCGAGCTGCCTAATGTCTATAGGCAACATAATATCACCAAATGGAAATCGAAAACACCACTTAAACGTAAGTAGAATTACAAAGAAATTACTGTTTAACCAATTGTTGTTCAACTGTATGTTAGGTATGTTACACACACAAAGCGTCTTCGATTACTCTCACTGAGAGTGCACGTTTTATACCTAATACTTAAGTCAGTACTTCGCAGGAAAAACAAAATCGTCTGATTGTCACTGTTCCCAGGGTGTTGCCTGGGATGATTAAAATCATGACAAAAACAACCAAAATACTTTAGTTTAATTTGACGAGAGTCAGTGAGTGTAATCGGAAACGCTATAACGATTGTTTGTGATTGGAACGTGGTAATATTATAATATAGATTATAAGTTAAATGTGTTTCAGACGTAGACAGTTAAAAAATCCAAAAAATCAGCAACTGATATTTTCGTTTAGACGACAGGAATGATACTAAAAAATCTTGGCGATGTTAAAATATTATCTTCTAGTGTGTTGTTTAAGCTATTTTCCGGGTTGTGTGTTTTATGGCCGCTGTACAAATTTATCTCTACTGTATGGTTTTTATACCTAGAGAGACGACAAAAAGTAAATAAATTTCGAGGCAATCACCAAATCTCTCAAGAGAAAAAAAAGTAAAACGACCAAGGGAAAAGTACACATGGTATACAATATTATTATCGTTTCCTTTCGATAACGTCGCTGTCCCTCTGTCCAACTCATACATTAGGCAACGCCACAATGATAAACAGTCCACTGCTGCCGTCTCCTCACCCCCAACCGATGACGTCCAAACCAGTTTGTCCACTCATTCGTCGACTCCGGACGATAATTTTTCTCGTCCTAAGATTTTTAAAAACCTTATTTCCGTGCGTTTCTTAAAGGTTCTTCAAAAGCAAAAACTAGGGCTGTTCTTAAAGATATGAGTACTCAAACGGGCCGGAAAACCCCGTACTGATACTGATGATTGATTACTAACTCGAGCTTTCATCCTTTCGTTTTCATAAACATAAAAGCGGCTAACCCTGCGCCTGTGACGACAGTATATCCAACCGGAGGAGGAGGATATTATGCGAACACTGTTGTCGAACGACCGAGGATCGTGAGAAAGCAAAGGATAGTATAATAAAAAAAAATATATTTTAATTATTTATGTTTTGTTGTGCTGCGCGTATGTGTGTGTGTATAAAATACAACATGTAGGAGGCAGCATACAGGTGTCGTCCGGAACGGAAAACCGGTTTTGTGGCAGAGTCGTTCACCACAATAGACGGGCGGCGGTGGTTTTTTTTCAGGTAACTCGTGTAAGGCGACGTTGCCAACTCGACGAGTCCCTTGTGGTCAGATGAACCGCCGCCGCATGTACACGATTTATATATATATATATATATATAATACATTACTTATAATAATTATCGTCTACGGTGTGGAGGAAGAGGAGAAAAACGGTGTTGCGCGTATATACTGAGGACAGGTCAGTCGGACCTAAGCAAAGAGAAAAAGAAGGAGCAGCGACAGATACAACAGGGGTGAAAAAAAGGTCGGTTTCCACGGTCGTAAGGTATCCGCTGTTGTCTGTCTGTCGTCAATGGATGTGATTATATTTATATTTTATTATTTAATTTTCATTACAAACGAAATCAATTTAATAAAGAAACTATTCTGCTAGCACTCGAGGTCGGTGGACCATTATCCGTGCGGCCAATTAATTGGGTCAAAACGGAAGGAACACAATACACAAATGTGGAAACCCTGGAGAAAAAAGTACATGTACTACGCGAGGAGGCCGTATTAAATGTAATATTATGTACAAAAGAACTACTCGAGAGCCACTATAACATTATAATAATCGACTATTGCCAATATCGTCAACAAAATGGCGAATTTCTTTTGAAACGTCGGGTTTTGTCCTCGGGTACAATATTCTTCTTCTCTTGCCGTTTTAGACGGCTTCGTCATAGATTTTTATTACATTTTTTTCCCGAACGCTCACGACGTCAAAGATAACCCATAGATTTAATATTATATACTAACGATGCACATATATATTAATTTGACGCACCTTTTTTAATATCATAGTAGTTTTACCACAAAGAAATAAACATTTAAGGGTATTTGAATAATTCTGGAGAAAAAAACGTCGCCAATACATTAAATGTGTTCTATCTTATATGTAGTTAATATTTATAAATATAATTATATAAACCTATAATTTCGACAAAAATATACATTTTTTAATGATTTAAATCGGATAAAACTGGAGGAAATCCACCTAATGTTTTATAATTTAATTTAAAGAGGCAACATGATTTATCAGATAGACTTTGCTTGGTAGTTTTATTTTACGAACAAAGACATTATTTTTATCGTCGAGATATCTATGATTCAATTATGTCAGGTAGGCTGTACTCGGAGCGCGCATTTTCCTACTCGTGTTATAGAAAATTACAGCTGTATAATACCTATACCGGCGAAAATATTATTATTATTATTTCCAAGAGACCTTTTATTACTGCCAACCATACGAAGGATGGGCGCTAATATGTCGTCGATGTGTATCAATGGGAGAACTCAGAACGTGCGTGTGTATTATCGTCGTTTATTTTATATTGTTGTATACACACACACATACACACACACACACACACACACACACACACACACATACTCGTACACACCCCATTGAACGCGCTGGTTCTGAGAAAAACACACGTACGGTTTTAAGGTTTATTATTATTATTTTTTTAAAGGACCAAGAGTGATTCATCGCGTTGTGTGTGTGCGCACCTGCGCCTTATTACTCGGGGCAGCAACGACAGCAACCTGTACACGACGTGAGGTACAACAGAACTGTTATATCGTCGTGATGATCGTCGAGAAACGCAGTCTTATCACATATTAGGAAATGGACATCCGCGTATCCGGTCCGAGATTGACTGGAACAAACATATTTTATGGAAGCAAAATGTCTCGTATACTTTAGGTACCTCATCAAGTCAAGTTGGCAACAAACAATTAAAAACACCAATCGAAATTACTTTTAAAGAAAACTATTAAAATTAGATTTAAAAGAATTTTTAAGGAAAACATTTCTGATTTCTACATTCCGTTATTCTGTTATTTTTACTTCTTCATTCATGATTGAGATTCTCCCTCATACTGTGACAAACCCACTTTTCTCTTAGTATAAAATTCGCAGTCCATACTTTAATAAATCATCTAGTAGAAACAATAATATTGATATATTGCCTGAAGACGACAACAGTGGTACACGACTAGCAATAATAACAATATATTATATAACTTATATCATGAAAGGGACCCGCCAACGAGTGGGGTGGAAAATAGAACCCGAGAGGAGAGGTGAACACAGACATTTCAAAGGGGTTACAATTGGAATAGGAACACAGACACGAGCAAGCGTTATAATATCATACACAGTTAAAAAGATGAAAATATTTCAAATGCAGCATTCAGTCATATTATTGTAGAATTCGTTTCATACAGATAAAAAATAATCGGATAGAGAATAATAGGAATGTCGCCAGTCACACACACACACACGTGGAATATTAGATGACATACGCTTAAAAACGTCGAACTTGTGTGTGATGCGTTCCCGAACGTAACAATGAGCGACCGCCCGGAGGAGGTCATTGGACGTGTGAAGTCGAATGTCTCGACCTTATACAGCGTCCAATATAATTTATTTTTAATATTAATAATCGAATTAACGATTTTTTCAATCGAAAAATTCGTTTTAAGCATACCACGTGGCCGCCATTTGCTTGTAATATTATTATTATTTGTGTCGTGTTAATGTTTTTTTATTGCACGTACCTGGGGACGTCATGCTATCTTCCTCCGACAACGGGTACATCTGAGAAGCTGGCTCATGAACATATAACCCTTTGCGGACTCGTAATACGCCGCTGGCGGCGAACGCTTCGCGGTTACACTGCAACGCTCTATGAACGGGCTGAGGGCGAAACAGAAAACAAAAAAACAAAAATAAATAAACAAAACTACATTCACACAAAAAAAAACACGTCTAAAAACTAAGGCAAAGAAAGTTTAAAAAAAAAATAGTAAAGTAAAAGGACAGAGTTTGTCGGTAGGTTCGATCGGATATGAACAAACAATAAACAGACCAGTGGTGTTAAGTGGATTTTTCCCACAACGGGTCCTATCTGATACTCGGAGATAGATTTCGAAGGGGTAAGACGGGGGAAGAGCCGGAAAGAAGAAAAACTTTGACCAACCGAAATACGATTGGGTCAGTAATGACTTGCCAACGACATTTTGAATTCGCAAACTTGTTCTTATTATCTGTATCGTCGGAGCAACAATTATTTGCACTCGCCGACAACATTGCACAAAACACAAAACGTCCAACGTTATATTATTATCGAAAACCGAGTATCTACACTGCGGTACAACACAATCGACCGTGTCGTCATTTGTATAAAAATATAAAAATTCTCATGAGTAGTTCGCAAAAAAAAAAAAATAATAATAATAAAAGCTCGTGAAAAGAGAGATAGAGAGAAGAACCCATCTATAATGTTTTTACGCGGTTCTCGGGGGGGAATTTACTATAGAAATATCTTCAGGCGAGACGACATATTTACACTGCTCCTCCTCCGACCCGCGGTTATAATATAGTGTGATCATGTGTGTGTGTGTGTGTGTGTGTGTGTGTGAATGTTATGTTATATTTTCCTTATAGTGGTAATAATAATAATAAGTAGGATTTTGATTTTTCAAAACTATTCGAAAAAAAAACTCCCGTTTACCGTGTATTTGCCTGAAAACGACGACAGATGAAACAAAAACTGCATTCTGCCGGTCGCTATTGAGGCGACAGCGGCAAAAATACTATGAATACTCGAGTTCCTATACCACGAGCGCACCACACATTGAAATAAACGCGCCGCATAGGAAAACCGGTTCCGGCGCGCGCGTTTATTACATTATTATTATACACACACACACACACACACACACACACACACACATACATATATATATATATATAAATATATAATATATTCAACGTGTATTGTTTAAGCGGAATCGATTGCAAACAAATTTGTACGAACAACGGTCACGTTGTGCGGCCAAACGCGGTCGTGGACAGATCGTGTAGTAAAAAAAAAAATAAAAACCTTTAAATAATATTAGCAAACCGATTATTATTCAAACGACGGCCGGAAGTTATTTGCTAAAGATAATTTTTTTGGACGGACCCTTTGGATTTTTGCCACCGTCGACGAGCTAGCTACGAGACCCACGACGAATATTACATATTATTATTATGGACATTAATTTCTATACATAACCCAACGCTAATACGGAGTGACAAGCAACAACAAGTGCACGTACTAGGCGATGTCATCTAGGTACTATATAGATACTATAGATGTCACATGCTGTTTAACGTGATCTTAATTTTCAATAAATTACCTTTATAATTATCCTACTTCTCTCAGACAGATAATATACCGAGTTTCCGTTTAACGCAAGAAACTATTCTTGTTGAAAACATTTTATTTATGATATTTTTAAATATTATACATAACTACTAATTATTTAATTTTTTTATTTCACGAGAAATGAGTGCCTTGCGTTTAAAAGGACGTTATACACCCGAATTTCTAACGTTAAAACATACCTAAGCAAAATGTGTGTTATTCGTATCCAGTAACATCTTTATTCTAAGGGCACGAGCCCAAGGCCCCCAAACTTTGTGTGTCTAAGGGCCTCTGCATAGCCTAAGACGGCCCTGCTAATATCACCATAGTATACAATACGGGTTGGCCGAAAAAAATACGTAGAACCTAATTTATAGAACCCAATTGTTTTTTATTGATTTTATGTGTAAATTCAATTCCGAGAAAAATATGATCTATCCGGCCGCAACGCGATAAACTTGTCACCATGCCTATATGCGTAATAGGGCAAACCAAAATAACTACTAATAATACTTAATTAAAATATATCCTTGAATATTATAATATCCACCAGGTGAAGCTAATTTGTAATTTGTATGAAATATGACAACTATTACAGCATTAAAGCGCATACATGCACTAAAATTTACATCCATGATTTTTAAGCAAAATGATAAAATATTTTTCCTATAATGTAAAAAACTATTATCATAAACAAAAAATCATACAGCTAAGGGTTAATATTAAATAATTTGAAAAATAATCTACATTTAAAAATTTTACTGCAGTAGAACAGTGGAGTGTAACATAATTATAATATCCGTTATATACAATAGCATAAAGATAACAAATTAACCTGCACATACGATGGATTGATCAATGTTAGATACAATATGATATTATAATATATATTTATAAAAAGAGGAGTACAAAAAGAAAAACGAAGGCGATTGTGGTGTGCGGCCATTGTAATTTATAATATAATAATATTATACAGATAGGTATATCATTTGAGATATCATTGTGTAAGTACAACAGTGCCGTGTCTGCGCTGCTAAACGGCTACTGGATATCGATAATATTTATAATAACAATAAAAAAAGATAACACAGACGGTAATGCTATTTTTGCAATAAGCCGCGCGGTTTTCATACTATTTTATTATTATGACAATCGCGCTAATAATAATTAATACTCAATAATTGTCATTCCTCGCGTATCTATATAGTCCGTCCATCATATTATACCTGGTTGGACTATATACGGGACCGTTGTTCGTCGTCTAGCTATAATTGTTTAATTAAAACCACGTGCAATTCAAACTTAAAACATAAATCTGAAGTAAAAATACAAAAAAGAAAAGAAATTAATCATCCGCCGTTGAATGAATGGAGTAGCACACGGCATGCTTCTACGACAAATGTATGTGTTAAGAAATAAAAAACTCAAAACGATTTGAAAATCATGGTCATCGGTTATTAAGTAATGATACAAGTACGAATCGAACAAAACGACAAATTAAGCAGCTTTTATATGGAAAAGTAAGAGAGGATTCGTATATTACAGTAATATACCTGTAGGATCGTATGCTGCTCGTGATTAATGATCGTTTCCTTTCCACCGGTCGTGGTCGTTGTACCCATCATTATCATAAACCCTTTGTAATGCGGGGAACTCTCGCTGGTTGATATTACCATTATTGTTATTCGAATAAAAGGTCCAGCGGAACGTTTTGTTAAATTAATACCCGAGCGAATAATAATGATTATTATTAATAATATTAACCTACGACTGTAGATTTTGTAAGTCAACGCGATAGTCGAAAAAGTGTTGATTACAGTCGTATACAAATATATATTAATAGGACACACGATGGAAATAATTACATTTTATCAATGAGTCGTACCACTCTTAACCAATTAAAATAAAAAATTGCATAATAACTCCATATTTAACAAAGAGGCATTACACGTTCATTGTCACTTTTTAGTAAGGATGACAGCCAAAAATAAGTATAGGCGTATCGAGTACCTTAAGACTCGACTAAACCCCAAACATTACAAATCAATTATTATTATTTTTTGTTTAAATCAGACATTTAATTTATTTCCGGAAAAATTCGACGTAGATTTTTTGTTCGAAAAAATATTTATAAGCAGTTTATACACGAAAACCGAAACCGGTAAACACGTGTATGGTTAATAATTATTCAGACTCGGAAGAAGCTGACAGTTATTCGTATAAAATATACACAGTTATTACCTAAGTCGAAGAAATGCAGTTACCGAGGAAATAGCGTTCACTATTATACCCGACCTTAATCGTTTTTTCCCTTTAATCGGAAACTTTAGAAGGGAAGAGCCGTAGGTCGTATTTAGTGCCACAGGAATTCCTAACATAATATTATAATACGCGACATAACTCTGTATTAAAAATATAATATTATTATACGCCGGTGTCATGTTACACGCTGAGAAAACAATAATCGATAATGACGAGGGCCCGGGGACTGTAATATATTCGTACAACTAATCAATCGTTACCTCAGCGCAAGCATTACTACAATTTCGTTTGTTATACATAATAATATAAATTATGCAATGCGATATTATTATTACTATTTACATTTAATAACTAATAATATATAATATTATAGGCAATAATAATAATAATCACTTTTACTTGTATTGTCCCCCCAGCTCTTGGTGTCCGCGATATTTCGTAGTAATATCTTATGTCATCATCGTCGTCCATAGCAATCAAAACACATAGTATACTATATTAAGCGTGGGCGCCAAAAAACTGGACCATATTGACCTTGGAGCACAGGATTTTGTATAGAAAATAAACGCTACAATAATGAGCTCTCCTTGTCAGCGTGCGAGCAACAAACACACGCACGAAGGCGGCTATTGATTTCACTTCAATCGGGTTTGTGTAATAAAAAAATAAAAAAAAGTAATATAATATAGTCGCCTGATCTAATGGACTTTTTTCATCCATAACGGGGGATTCGACCCTCCTCTGTCTCTTCTACTGCCGCCACCGTGGTGATCGTCGTACAATAGGTCCGGAAAACTCTTTATGTCAACCAAAAGCGTCATTTTGCTGGGACGTAAAAAATAAACAAAGAAAAAAAAAACAACTTGATACCGCCAAAACTCACAGAAAAACAAGCTGTCGGTCGGTATCGTCGGAACTCGACGTCAAGCGACTGTTAAAAAACATTATTCTAAAAACCAACAAATCAAATCAATGATCGTACGTACGCTCGGTAAACTCAAAAATGCAATATAACATATTTTTAGTGCACGATTAGTACTAAACACACGTCGAACACAATTCCGCATCGCAAAAGAGTCTAGTACCGACTGATTACTAATAATCTAGTAAAAAAAAAAAAACAAAAAACAATAACAGCGCAGAAAAATAATATTACGAAACCGATAAGAAATACCTGTCGAACGGTTAATCAGCAAATGCCGAAGCCCACGCGACACGATAATATTAATTACAGTATAAATAT